CCCATTTCTGAAGAAGGGTCTAGGCCCAAAACATCAGCCTTCCTGCTCCTCTGATGCTGCTTGGCCTGCTGTGTTCATCCAGCTCTACACCTTGTTATCTCCATTTTGATTTAGTCCCCTTCTCTCCCTAACACTACCCCCTTCACATTTTAATGTCAGCATTGACTTCAACAGGCTTTGCTTGTTAATATTCAATTGGCCACATGGGTGTTTTCCTGGTGGAAAAAATGAATAAAGTATATATACACAACGGTGTCTTCTTACTGTGTCACTGGGAAAAAGAACTATACACAGCCACAGATGATTTAGGGTAAAATATAAACATTAGTGCTAGGCACTATTGGGTGCAGCGGTAGTGTGGGGTTTTTTTAAAAAACAAGAAAGAAATAATTGAGAAAGGAAAAGAAGGTGGATGGGTAGGTCTTGCAGTGCAGGGGTAGTGTCACTACCCCTGGACTGGGGACCCAGGTTCAAGTCCTACTTGCTCCAGAGGTGTGTAATAACATCTCTGAACAAGTTGATTAGAAAACTAAATTAATTTTTAACAAATTGGGGGTGGGGTCAGTCTTGTGGCACAAAGGTAGTGTCCCTCCCTCTTGGCCAGAAGGTACAGGTTTAATTCCCATCTGCCCCAAAGGTGCATCTTAATGTCGAAACAGTTCGGTTAAAATGTTTAGTTAAGAAAACACAGTTAATGCCTCTCTAGGTCAGCAGATTGTTATTATCAACGAATGGAAAAGGAGTGTTGGTGATTTGTGGTGCTTGTGAAACTAACTGAAATTAAAGAAAAAGTGACTTATTAAAAAAAGTTGACTTTTGGGTCCTGTTTCACTGGTTTACTTACTGACCAGCCAGAAAGTCCCTCATTACACAAGCAACTGGATCATTGAAACGGGTAGATTGTACAACTGCAGTGCGTCCTGCACCACCCTCACAATCTGAGCTGCCTCTTAAGTACAATTTGCATGCCTTTCCACTTTGCGAAGGTGCATGTTTTTGTAAAGGCTGCTGTTGTACACTGTCCACCTCAACTCCTACGTGAGCCTCATAGACACCTGGCATGCTTATTTGGTACCAGGTGACTGGGATCCCCAGTCGAGAACTCTCTACATGGGAATCCTCCCACTTTCCATCAGGGACCTAGAGGGTATTGCACACAGCAGTCCCATATCACCACAAATTGAGACAGTTCACGGCCTAACTGTTTATTTTGCGGCACTATGGAGTCTGTGGACAATGTTTTTGTTGGTTGTAGGCTATTTGTACAATCTTTTCATTTTGATTGCACTTCAGCCCTACACTCCTGATCTTTGGGCATCTGGTGCGGAGGAGTGTGGGAAGATCAGACGACTTCCTTGTGGGTCTGTTCCTGGGCCTGGCCAGGCTGGCTATAATAGGCAGCAGGCTATGTTGGGGAGCATCTCTGTCAACTGCCTGCTCCTCTTCCACGGTTAGATTTGTGCCCGGGTGTCATTGGAGAAGGAGCACATGGGGTCCATCCATGCTGCTGATGCCTTTGGAGAGAGGTGGGCACTGCAAGGGATACAGTGCTTTTTCTCCCCCTCCAACTCCATTTTAATTTAGTCCCTTCCTGTTCTTCCTACCCCCCACCCCGCCTCTCTCATTTGATGGTTTGTGTTGCCCATAATGGGTTTTGCTTGTAAATACTCAGTTGGATAGGTGGATGTTTTTACTGGTGGTGGTTGCTAGTTTAAAGAAAAGCAAAAAACCAGTCACAGTGATTTTGGTGGCGGAAGGATGCTCAATTGGTGTGATTGCACTTCTGGGTAGAACCAAAATCTTAACCAAGTTGTGTAACAAGCCTGTCAACTTTGCTGCGCTCATGACCTTCCCATGCAGGAAGCTCCTAAACCACAAGCAGAAGTGTTGAACTGAACTTACATCTAATTCAGGGAGTTCAGCAACACCACTGTGCAAAGGGTTGCTAATTCAAGATACTTATCTGGATTAAAATTGATAACTGTTAGTATTATTTAAATATTGTTACAATGGTCATGATAACCAAGTTTAAAGGATTTTTTTTAAAAAACAAAATAGTGTGCTGCTTATGGACACATTGTAATTTGGTTTTGTTGCCTCCAGGCCCAAAGTAGAATCACAGATGAGAGCTTAATGCTCATGATCAGATATTATTAAATTATATCATTTTAAAGCTTGATGCATTGGTGTTTAGCACAACTGGCATAGACTCTCTTTATATCATGTGAAATTAACATGATATATGTGTATTCCTTTCACATCAAGTATAAATCATAACTAGAATTGAAGTCAGTGTTTTCTTTTTAACTATTTAGAGTTAAACATTCAGAGAAATGTCAGATGATGACAATGGCTGTTGTTGTACGTTGGCTATTATTGATCAAAATGAAAGTAACTCATTAGCAGTTTTTTTTGACTGGGGAAGTTAATTTTATCTCCTGATCGCTCTCTGATAAATATTTAAAATGGAATATAACATAAAGATCTTTAAAAAGTATACTAGGTAACTACATTCCTAAATAAGTGACTAATGAATGAACATTGTACCCAAGCAATGAGACATCATTTATGAGTGTATTTAGAGACAGTGCTTGGATTCAGAAGGGTGGAATCAAAACCAGATTCAAATATAAGCTTAATTTATGAAGACAGTCTATAGAAAATCTGTTCTTTCAGAAGAAAGGCAATTGAGGAACTGGCACAATCCAGGACTTCGAACAAGTAAAAGGAATGCATAAGGTAATTGTAGACAGATATTTTGTACAAAAAAAGAGAGGTACACCTAGCCAGGGAAATGTAAAACTTCAAGCATTTTATTGATAATTAAGATAATATTTTATATCACCAGTTAAATGATTGAATAAAAATAAGACTAATGGGATGTTGGTAGATAGCTGGTTCCAGAGGAAGGAGGTGTAAGAATTGTGATTGCATTATCAGAGTTTGATAACAGATTACATTCCTCATGGAATAAACTATATTGTTTGCTGGACAGCCGCTTACCATGTATGTATTTTATGAGACAAAGCACAAGAAGAATACTACATGCTATTCCACCACAAATGGAAAGTAAAATGAATGACAGCATCCAAAGATGTCCATTACGATCTGCAAAATATGGATTGTAGACTCACAATGTGCATGAATTATGCAGACAACCTGCTAAAATTCAAATTGAATACATTTAGATCAAAAAAAGAACTGTAGATGCTGCAAGTCTGAAACAAACAAGACACAAATTGCTGGGGAAACTCAGCAGGTCTGGCAGCATCCATGGAGAGAAAACAGAGTTAACATTTTGAGTCCAGAGACCCTTCTTCAGGAATGAGTCTGTCTGAAAACAGGAGGGGGTTGGTTGGATCAGTTGACTGGACAGCTGATTTGGGATGCAGAGTAACACCAACAGCATTGATTCAATTCCTGGTCCAGTCAGGATTTTTATGAAGGACTCTTCTCCTCAACCTCTCACCTTGCTTGAAGTATGGTGACCCTCAGGGTAAACCACCATCAATTATCTCTCTCTCTCTCATGAGAGAACAGCCCTATGATCTAGTAGCATTATGGCAACTTTACCTTTACCTTATACGTGTATATATGATGAAGAAACGCAGAGGCTTTTCAGCCCCAGCACTGATTCCTTTGGCACTGCACTAGTTACAAGTTCCCCTCTTAAAACCACTCCTTTATTCTGTCTTCCAATAGTTAGCCAATTCTCTATCCTTGGTAATATTCTAGCCCCAACACTATGCATCATCTAATTCACCCACTGCAAATGAAGCAGTATTTCCACTATATATTAAAAGAAAAATGTTGCAAATACATATTCTGAAGAGTTTGATAATGTTACATCTTACCTTCACCTCTTGGGTGTACATGAATGAGGATGGTACGGTTTATCTTGAATTGTGAAGCAGGATGCTGAATTATACAAGTGAATTCATTTGAGTTATTGCAGTTTTCAGTGGAGATGTTAACAATGGCCATGTGGTTGTACGTTCCATCAGGGTTAGATGTCTGGATTTCGTTGGTGAGCTGGTTGATGAGACAGGTTGTTTGGAACATCATTGTAATAGTGTCTGGATAAAAATTGTGTGCTGAACAGTTGATTGTAGCTGAAGGTGAAGAAGATGTTTCTTTAGAAGATGCAAATAGCCAAAGAGAAGGAGGAGCTAGTTATGAAAAGGAGGGCAGAGGATTGGTTAATAATAGAATCAGATTAATGCCAGCTCAATGTGCAACTGAACCATCCAGACTTCAAAGCTATTAAAACAACCTGATGTGATTTTGAACAGATATCTAAACATAAAGAAGGAATGTTTTTAGTAATAAATCACTTTTTAAATGGTGCCAAATATTTACGTATTTCCATTTTCACTCAATCTCAATTTTAGTTTTTCATCAGTCTGGTAATTGCACTTTGACTTTTTACATTAAATCTTTTCCTTCTTCCTGATTTGACCTTCCTCTTGGTCCATCAACTCCATTCTCACCATCGCACCCCTATCCCATCTACTTTGCTGTTTTAGATCTGTTAGACCTACCATTATCTGTTAATATTTTCAGACATTTTTCAGCCTAAATCCCATTCTAGCATCGGATGCGATTTGCTCAATTTTCCATTTGCTCAACCGCTCTCATTTCCATCACGCTCTCTTGCCTCTGCCCCATTTACTCTATGTTGCCCCTACAATCACTGCCGGCACCTTGCTGTTTTATTTTCTCCCACTTCTTATCAGTATTTAAAAGTACGTTCCTTCATCCTATTACCAGAATTGAATAAGCAAGGGATGCACCACTCACGAGCACACTAACTATATCACCACCACCAAATGAATCATGTCAGCTTGCACTGGATTCCCAACAAGTTTGACTTAAGTGGATTCTTACCTGCCCTGTACGCACGGATTCGGGACCAGGGGAGAAATTGGAGATTCTCACAAAAGGGCGGCTCTCCAATTCGTGCCGGGTTAATCTTGCCGGAAGCGGAGTCAAATGGATGACTCGTCCGGCATCGACTGGTACATCAGTAAATGCCTATTTGAAGTCAAGTTGCTGATGCCACTGGGGTCGTTCAGGGGCTCCTCTCCTACTCCCCTTTTTACTATTAGAGTGGCATTTGTTTGAACTTAGAAGAATACTTGGTTAATACTCATCTTAATTCAGCAAAGAATTACTACACATGTTAAGAACGTGACAGGCACAATGTGCACAGTTCCCTGCAGATATTTTCTTTTCATGGATAATTATGAAATTTTACAAGTCATCTTGATAAAATAGACCACTTAGGAAAATTGTTGCTGTTTTCCCCTTTTTCAATGTTCTGCAAAAAGAAATTAGCTTATTTCAAGGATATACCAAACTGACTCTGAAAAAATCAAACAAAAGTCTGCAGGTGCAGAGTTACACTTGAAACGTTAACTTGTCACTTCTTCGACAGATGTGGTCCCTGATCTGCTTCGTCTTTCCAGTGTTTTCTCAAAAGTTGGTAGGCTTCACTAATAAATCAAGGAAATGGCATTTAATTATTGTAAATACAATGTGTACCGTGTGCTCAGAGGAATTACGAGCAAAGAATCAAAAACTCGTCAAAAGGAAGTGTTTTAAAATATATTAGTTAAGATATTTCTTTAAAGAGACGATTGAGGTGAAACCTAAGACAGAATCATCAACTCATATATAATTGTCAAATAAAAATAGCAGGGGCATTTCATAAATATTTCATGTTTGTCTTTACCAAACTGAGACCAAAGTGAATGTTACTCAGATGTGCAGTTGAGGTGAATTAGCCATTCTACATTCCTCGTGGTGTACGGGGATGTGTGGGTTAGGTGGAGTAGCCATGGGAAATGCAGATTTACAGGGATGGAGTGGACTGGATGGGATGCTGTTCGAAGGGTCGGTGTGGACTCGATTAGCCGAATAGCCTACTTCCACACTGTAGGGACTCTATGATTCTATGACGGCTTATTACAATAACCAAATTTATTTCACTAGTCCAAGTTGAGGAATGGAGAACTTCTAAGAAGAGATCTTTGTTCCAATTACTCTAATGTCTTATGCATGGAAGGAAAATTATGTATTTTAATTAGCAATAGGATAATTTGTTAGTACTGTCTCAGAATTTTTCTCATTACTTTATTTGCATTAATTCTGTTAAAGTTAGCTCATTGGGAAAAGTATGATCTCTTTTAGGGTGGAATAGGTGGAAATTTAATCTATATATTATGATTTGTGGCTGATACCTGTCCGTATCACAGCATTGTGATTCCAAAATTTGTCAATAATTGCCTCCCCTCCCCGCCCCGTGACAAACTAGTACATTAATGCGACGAAAATGTACAATCGTTTTCTAGTTTCCATCGTTGACGTGACTGTTCCGTTGCTGTTTATTTTTGTTAGTTTCTTTCTTGACTCCTTTTCCTATTATTATTTTCTCTCCATTGTTTCTGAAAATACTTTACCGTTTGCTGATGTACAGCGCCTGAGGTTCCCTCCAGCACCGCTCCTGTGAATATTCTTCTTGTTCGACCTTGGAAACTGAAAGTCACAGGTTTGTTCTGCCACGGAGACCAGGATCCTTCTGCCTTCTATCAGTGTTATTAATGTAGATTTCTATCTGGAATTCTTACAATGCATTAAGGGTGAGAATCTTCCAAACCCTGGAATCAAATGTAGCAATTCTACCATCACGCTGGCTAAAATTAGCTAACTCCATAGACTGGCGATCAAACTTGAAGCGTCTCATCTTTATGACATATTCACTGCTGCTAAAGTTTTTTACCAATATCCCAAGGCATATTAAGGATAAAATTATAGCATCGTTACCTGTTACACTTAGCATTGTTCCTTTGCCAATTCTTTTACCGCTTGGTGGAGGCGCGACCTGAAACATCTCACAGTAGTATTGTCCAGTATCATTGACTTGAACATCAGTAATCGTTAAAGTGAATGCTTTCTCAACTGAGTCATGCTTTGCATAATATCGATAATGAGTCACTTGGGGTACACTGGTCGATAGGTTTGCAATGATCTTTGGAGGTGCTTGGTCAACATTACGGAAAACCCACCATGCTTCGAATCTTCGTAGATCAGGTACTGAGTGGAAACAATTTAACGAGATCAGGCCTCCCTTTTCGACCAAAAGATGACCAAGCTGTTGTAAATCTCGCTGTCCATCTTGAAAAAAGTTAAATTTGTGCATTATTACCAATGGATGTGAATATATGAAACGCCTGAGCTAAAGTCATAGGAATGGTTAACTCAATTAATTCCTTCGTTCAAATAGAAGAAAAAACGTTTCTTTCTGTATTCACAGTAATGTGTCTTATGTTTCTTATACAAAATATTTCATATATTTTCACCTTGTTCGGCTATAATTTTGAAGATGCTCCGACAGGTGTTCAACAAAAAATAGAGAAGTTTAGTACATTGTGTTAAGAGGTCATTAAAGTACAGAGACGGTCACAAATTTCCCGATTGCGTATTAATGTAAGAACCTCACTGGTAATGAAAGTGTAAGCGGCGTGCGTCAATAAGCAGATCTGCTTACAAAATAAACTATATTTAGCAACATAATATAGAATGAAAGGTATTATTGTCTGTAACTATCTTGCTAACTGAGCATATTATGCCATTTTAGTTACACAAAACAATACTGTATGAAAAGTGAATTGAAGAACATCGACGTCGGGTTTACGAACGGCACATGAGCGTCAGTGGATCAAATGTTTTGTTTTGGTTAATCACCAAATTTTTGACGGGTACAATGCTTATTTTGGAAAGTTTAAATACGTTTTCCACGGATTTTAGTTATTGTTATTAGCACAAAGGCAGTTTGGTATGCTGCACAATTAAATCAAACATTGGCAATTAAAACCGCGTGCTAGTTCATTTAAATATCAGTAAAAACAGAAGTCGGATATATGTAAATATATTAAATGCTGCTGATGTAGGCGATTTTGAAATGCTATTTTAGATTAAAAACAGTGATAACTGAAACCTCAGCTGAGAAATAAATCATATCTAACTCATATCCATGTCATGTACATTAACCTAATTAAATTATAGACAATTGACTCAGATCATTACTGGCAATATTACCATTCGCTATAAATGTCACACTTTTATAGTTATCTACAACTCTAACTTCAAATTTAACGCCTATCCAATTTCAACTAGCACTTCAGTTAAATAAGTACCTGTAAATGGTAATAGCAGTTGCAGGAAAGTGTAGAAAATTATCATGTCGCACATAGATGAAGTTACTAGTCAGAGATCACCAGCCAAACCGACTGCATCACGTGAAAACCTTAATAACGCTAATCCAGTTCAGTCTATTTCTTGAATAGCATGAAGTAGCCTACTAGCTATAGTATACGAAGGATGTGGAACAATGGGTGAAGGCACATGGACAAAACAGTAGTTGGCAGGGCATTGTGGGTGCAAATCCTGTACTGCTAGATCACTGGTTTATAGGCAGCTATGACTGCCGGAAGAGTTCTTTTAATGAGATTTATATGTTGTAATTAAACACTAGATCAATTTGACTTGGATTTTAATCATTACTATGCAGAAATTGAGCCTTCTAAAAATTTTAGTGTAGCTAAACTGAAGCAACATTTTTTGAGGAAACTGCATAATTAATAGCCACATTTTTCTGTGAAGCTTGTTAAATATAAATATAATAATTTAACATATTTCATGCTGGGGTTTTGAGGCTTTATGTCTACCAGTTTGTGGGTTGACCTACATATAGTCTATTTCCTTACGTAGACAATTTCTCTGGTATTAAACTGGTATAATCCCAATTCAGCCATCCATTCATCTAAAGTGCCATCATTTGTACTGTTAATTTGTACACCGTGTAGCACCCAGATTACTGTTAGCTCATTCATCCAGTCATCTAAATGTAAGCTAGGGGCAATACTTTTTTTCTTTACTTTTTCATGGGGTGTGGGTTTTAATGGCAAAGCCAACATTTCTTGCACAATTAACCTTGAACTGAGTGATTTGCATAGCTATTTCATAGGGCAGTTGAGTCATCCATGTTCCTGTAGGTCTGCAGTCACAAGTAAGTCAGACCAGAGAAGGATGACAGATTTCCTTCTCAAAAGGACCTTAGTGAACCAGATGGGTTTTTACAACATTTGATGGCGCGTTCTAGGAAATCACCACTGTTTGTGTGAAAAACATGCCTCACACATCTCTTTTAAGCTTCCTCCCTCGCACCTTGAACCTGTGTCCCCTAGTAATTGACTCTTCCATCCTGGGAAAAAGCCTTATACTTTCCACTCTATCCATGCCATTCACAATGTTAGAAACTTCTATCAGCTCGTCCCTCAACCTCTTGTGTTCTAGTGAAAAGAAACCCAATCTATCTAACCTTTCTTCATAGCTAAAATCCCTCATTCCATGCAACATTCTGTAAATCTTTTCTGTACTCTCTCCAAAGCATCCATATCCTTCTGGTAGTGTGGCGACTATAACTGTACACAATATCCCAAGCGTGGCCGAACTAAAGTTCTAAAAAGCTGCAGCATAACTTGTCCATCCTTATAGTCATTGCCCCTTCCAATGAAGGCAACATGCCATAGGCCATTTTTACTACCTTATCACCTGCAGTGATCTGTGGACCTGCACACTCAGATCCCTCTATATATCAATACTCCTAAGGGTTCAGTCATTCACTGTATAATTTCCACCTGTACCTGACCTTCCAAAATGCATCACCTCACATTTGTCTGGATTAAACTCATGTGCCATTTTTCTGCCCATGCCTCCAACTAACCTATATCCTGCTGTATCCTGACAATCCTCCTCACTGTCCACAACTCCGCCAATCTTTATATTGTCTGCAAACTTACTAATTAGACCAGCTATGTTTTCCCCCAAATCATTTATGTAGATCATGAACAACAGAGGTCCCAGCACCGATCCCTGTGGAACATCATTAGTCACAGCCCTCCATTCCAAAAAGGATCATTCCACCGCTACCCTCTATCTCCTATGACTAAGCAAGTTCTTTATCCATCTTGCAGCTCACCTCGATACCACGTGACTCCACCATTTGTACCCATTTGCCATGAGGGACCTTGTCAAAGACTTTAATGAAGTCCATGTATACAACATTAACTGCTTTACCTGCATCAATCATCTTCGTCATCTCCTCAAAAAACTGAATCAAGACAGTGAGGCACAGCCTCCCCTGCACGAAACCATGCTGTTTATCGCTAATCAGTTTATTTGCTTCTAAATGCATAGAGATCTTGTCCCTGAAAATCTTTTCCAATAATTTCCCGACCTCTGAGGTGAGGCTCACAGGCCTGTAATTTCCTGGATTATCCCTGCTACCCTTCTTAAACAATGGGACAACATTAGCTATTCTCCAGTTCTCTGGGACCTCACCGGGGGCCAAAGAGGATATAAAGATGTCTGTCAATGCTCCAGCAATTTGTTCTCTTGCCTCCCTCAATATTCTGGGATAGATCCCATTAAGACCCAGGGACTTATCTATCTTAATACTTTTTAAGAGGCACAACATCTTTCCCTTTTTAATAGCAACTTGGCTTAGAAATTCGACACTCCCTTCCCTGAGATCATCTTCCACCATTTCCTTCTCTTTGGTGAATACTGATATAAAGTATTCGTTTAAGATCTCACCTACATCTTCTGGCTCCCCACATACATTTTCTCCTTTGTCCTTGAGTGGGTCAACCCTTTTCCCTGGCTACCCTCTTACTTTTTATATTTGTATAAAAAGCCTTGGGATTCTTCTTAATCCTGTTTGCTAATGAATTTTCATGACCCCTTTTAGTCCTTCTAATTCCTTGTTTAAGTTCTTTCCTATTTCCCTTATATACTTCAAGGGCTTCGTCAGTTCCCATCTTCCTAGACCTTATGTATGCTTCCTTTTTCTTTTTTACCAAGGTCATAACATCCCTGGTCATCCAAGGTTCACGTAACTTGCCATAGCCATCCTTCACTCTCACAGGAACATGTTGCTTCTGAACTCTTATCAACTGCCGTTTGACATACTCTCACATAAACAATGTGGATTTACCCTCAAACAGACACCTCCAACCAACACTCTCCAGTTCCTGCCTAATATTGTTGTAGTCTGCCTTCCCCCAATTCAACACCTGCACCCGAGGACTGCAGTTATCCCTATCCATGAGTAACTTAAAATTCACTGTATTATGGTCACTACTCCTGAAATGCTCCCCCACTGAAACTTCACTCACCTGACTGGGCTCTTTTCCCAAAACTAGGTCTAGTATAATCCCTTCCCTGGTTGGACTGATTACATACTGTGTCAAGAAAATACTGTGTCAATTTTAGACTTTATAATCAAATTTAAATTCTACCAGCTGCTGTAGTGGGATTTAAACCCACATCAGCACATCATTGGGTCTTCGTTTCCACCAATATTTTGTCAATATCCCCTTCCTCAATAGGTAAGAAAACCCTGCCTTTGGGATTTTAGTGACTCCTTTTTCATTAGTGACTCTATGACTCTAGAGGAGTCCATGAGGAGCTCGAACAGTTCATCCACTTCACTAACACCTTCCACCCCAACCTTAAGTTCACCTGGACCATCTCTGATACCTCTCTCTCCTTCCTGGACCTGTCTATTTCCATCTCTGGCATCCACCTGGAAACCGACATCCAGTTCAAGCCTACCGACTCCCATAGCTACCTAGAGTACACCTCCTCTCACCCACCTTCCTGCAAAAAGGCCATCCCCTATTCCCAATTCCTTCGCCTCCACCGCATCTGCTCCCGAGGTGAGGCATTCCACTCCCGGACATCCCAGATGTCCTCGTTTTTCAAGGACCGCAACTTCCCCTCCACAGTGGTTGAAAACGCCCTCGAAGGTGTCTCTCGCATTTCCCGCAACTCATCCCTCACACCCCCTCCCCGCAATAACAACCAAAACAGAATTCCCTTCGTCCTCATGTACCACCCCGCCAACCTCCGAATCCAATGCATCATCCTCCGACACTTCCACCATCTGCAATCTGACCCCACTACCAAAGACATTTTTCCCTCCCCACCCTTATCTGCTTTCCAGAGGGACCACTCTCTCCGTGACTCCCTTGTCCACTCCACACTCCCCTCCAGCCCCACCACCCCTGGCACTTTTCCCTGCAACCGGAGGAAGTGCTATACCTGCCCCTACACCTCTGCCCTCACACCCATCCCAGGCCCTAAGAAGACCTTCCACATCAAACAGATGTTCACCTGCACATCTGCTAATGTGGTATACTGTATCCACTGTTCCCGTTGTGGCCTCCTCTACCTCGCGGAAACCAAATGGAGCCTTGGGGACCGCTTTGTGGAACACCTACGCTCGGTTTGCACTAAACAACTGCACCTCCCAGTCGCGAACCATTTCAACTCCCCCTCCCACTCCTTGAACGACATGTCCATCCTGGGCCTCCTGCAGTGCCACAACAATGCCACCCGAAGGTTGCAGGAACAGCATCTCATATTTCGCTTGGGAACCCTGCAGCCCAATGGTATCAATGTGGACTTCATAAGCTTCAAATTCTTCCCTCCCCCGACCACATCCCAAAACCAGCCCAGCTCATACCCGCCTCCCTAACCTGTCCTCCCACCTATCCACTTCTCCCACCTCAAGCTCTACCTCCATCTCCTCCCTACTAGCCTCATCCCGCCTCTTTGACCTGTCCGTCCTCCCTGGACGGACCTATCCCCTCCCTAACTCACCTTTACTGGCTCCAACCCTGCCTCCTTGACCTATCTGTCTCCTCTCCATCTATCTTCTCCTTTATCCATCTTCTATCCGCCTCCCGCTTTCTCCCTATTTATTTCAGAATCCCCTTCCCCTCCCCCATTTCTGATGAAGGGTCTAGACCCGAAACGTCAGCTTTCCTGCTCCTCTGATGCTGCTTGGCCTGCTGTGTTCATCCAGCTCTACACCTTGTTAACTCATTATGTACCTTGTCCTGAGGGACTTTGACAACGTAGATGTGGACAGCATGTTTTCTCTGATGGAAAATCTAAAACTAAGGGTCAGTTGTTAAGGATCAAAAGTCACCCATTTAAAATAGAGATGAGGAAAATTATTTTCTTTGAGAGCCATAAATCTTATAAACTCTCCTCTTAAAAAGGTGATGAAAGCAGCGTTTTTAGGGCATTATTTTTAAGGCAAATGTAGATAGATTCCTGTCAGAATCAGATCAGCCGATGGCAGACTCAAGGGTCTGAATGGTCTACCCTTTCTCCGTGTCCATATGCAAGTAATCTAACTTTGCCCTGCACCTCTAAGCATATTTGACCCACTTATTCCCAATAGTATCCACCTGGCCTCTCTCTACTCGCTTCCTGTTTATAGAAGAAAGAGTAGAAGATTTTTGGGGTCCCTTTCATGCCCTTTAAGAATCCTGGGAAATCCTA